GCACAGTCACTTATTACATGTTTGAGTAGATTTGGCGCTTACCTTGAGCCTGGGACAAAGATGTGTGTACATGTTATTTAGGAAGTTCTTCCAGGGAACAAAATTGGTGGGTCAGGGAGAGTGAGAAAAGAAGCAAAAGTGTGAGTGTCTGTTACTGGACGATCCCTGAGAGACATACAGAAGACCCCCTGGGATTCCCATCTTGAGGCTGGAGCCTTTGTCTACCACTCCCATCCCCGTTAAGGATTTCTCCAGGGCTGTGAAGTCCCTGCCCTTCTGGATGGTTTTTGTACAAGAACTGGGACGACTTAGCTTGTTGTAGAAAATGGGTTTGTTCTTTAGGTGGCAGAGTCAGGCAGCATAAATATGAGTTTATGCAAAACTTTCACTACAGTTGTAGCCAAAATCAGGGGGAGGGGGACTAGAGAATGTGACTTGGGGCATCCACACCTCTGCCTCCTGGGCTTTCCTGTTTTACTTTCAGAAGAGTGACATGACCATTTGACCAGAAGGAAGCACTGAATAGCAAACTTCTAAGCTTGCAGAATCGGGAATTTTTTTTTTAAAGAAATTTACTTATTTATTTTGAAAGTCAGAGTTAGAGAGAGAGAGAGAGAGAAGGGACAGGAGCTCTTCTAGGTCTCCCATGTGGGTAACAGGGGCCCAAGCACTTGGGCCATCTTCCACTGCTTTCCCAGCCCCATTAGCAGGAAGCTGGATTGGAAGTGGAGCAGCTGGGACTTGAACCGGCACACATATGGGATGCTAGCACTACAGGCAGAGGCTTTACCCACTATGCCACAGTGCTGGCTCCAGAATCAGGAATTTTGCTTCTAGCTCAACTTTATTTTTTTTACAGGCAGAGTTAGACAATGAGAGAGAGAGAGAGAGAGAGAGAGAGAGAGAGAGAGAGAGAAAGAGAGGTCTTCCTTCCGTTGGTTCACTCCCCAAGTGGCCACTATGGCCGGTGCGCTGTAGCCAGCGTGCTGTGCCTATACGAAGCCAGGAGTCAGGTGTTTCCTCCTGGTCTCCCATGGGGGTGCAGGGCCCAAGGACTTGGGCCATCCTCCACTGCCTTCCCGGGCCACAGCAGAGAGCTGGCCTGGAAGAGGAGCAACCGGGACAGAATCCGGTGCCCCGACCGGGACTAGAACCCGGTGTGCCAGGGCCACAGGTGGAGGATTAGCCTAGCTAGCTCAACTTCTGCTACTAAATAATTTTAGGTTCGCTCTTTGAATGTAAGAAATGAGTAGAAATTGGGGTGGGAATAAGAACGAATTTTTATTTAGCCTCCATATAATAAAAACAAAACATTGATTTTGGCACTGTTCTGAGGACAGGGAAATATCCATACTGACTTTTCTGTACACAGAAACTTGTACCTGTCTTGGGGCAGTTTCATTTCCAATAATTATAATAACGATTGAAAAACGGAATAAGAAGTAAGTAAGCTAAAAAGAAATCTTAACAGCATATAAGGAAATATATGGAAATGTAGAATTGCCAGAATGAGAAACAAAGCCATTTTTTAAAAAATAGAAACATGCCTAGGGGCCGGCGCTGTGGCGCACTAGGTTGATCCTCCACCTGCAGCACTGGCATCCCATATGGGAGCCGGATTCTAGTCCCGGTTGCTTCTCTTCCAGTCCAGCTCTCTGCTATGGCCTAGGAGTGCAGTGGAGGATGGCCCAGGTGCTTGGGCCCCTGCACCCACATGGGAGACCAGGAGGAAGCACCTGGTTCCTGGCTTCGGATTGGTGTAGCGGCCATTGGGGGGTGAACCAACGGAAAAGGAAGACCTTTCTCTCTCTCTCACTGTCTGTGACTCTACCTGTCAAATAAACAAAGCAAACATACCTAGACAAAAATAAAACAAAAAAGCTTAACATGTAGAAAGATGGGTGTAAACCAAAAACTGAATGGTCCCAAAAGGAACTTCAAAGAATCTTTAAAAAGATTAGAAAGTAGAGGAAATGTTTCAGAGAGAAAGAGAACATGGACTAACAGTGGTGTAGAGGAGACAAGTACAGCGCAACAGATACTAACTGCAGGTTGATTGTGCACATTGCACAAGGGTGTTAAAATGGAATAAAGGTGTGGCTGCTGCTCTCAGCAGATAGGAATCAACATGAGACTGTGAGAGTTCACTAATTTGTTTAAAGTTGGTTGGGGAGTAAGAGGCTGACTCAACTTTGGCACAGGGTTCTTTGGTCCAGAGTCTTTTCCTGATCTTCCAGAATTCCCATGGGCCTAACAGGACTCTAACAACTGGGACTGTTGAGCATTCATCTAAGCAACCAGTCAGCTAAGGAAAGTGCAGGGCTTTGCAATGGGAAATATGTCAGTGATCCATCAGGTGTATAGAGGGTAAAAATATGTGTGTGTACAAAGCCAAAGTAGATGTTTAAAAATTGTTTTATTAGAAACCATTGTGAATGGCACCGTGGCTCAATAGGCTGATCCTCTGCCTGCGGTGCCGGCACACCGGGTTCTAGTCCGGGTCAGGGCACCGGATTCTGTCCCGGTTGCCCCTCTTCCAGACCAGCTCTCTGCTATGGCCAGGGAGTGCAGTGGAGGATGGCCCAAGTCCTTGGGCCCTGCACCCCATGGGAGACCAGGATAAGTACCTGGCTCCTGCCTTCGGATCAGCGCAGTGCGCCGGCCACAGCGCGCCGGCCACAGCGCGCCATTGGGGGGTTGAACCAACGGCAAAAGGAAGACCTTTCTCTCTGTCTCTCACTCTCCACTCTGCCTGTCAAAAAAAAAAAAAAAAAAAAAAAGAGAGAGAGAAAGAAAGAAAGAAATCAGCAAGAGTATGTGGGGGGTCTGATAAGTTTAATGTTCAGAGATGAGAGGTAGCACAGAACTCTTACCCATCAATGTCATTTACCACCTTATAATTTCAGTTTTACAGTTTAGCACCACGGACCTGTTGGCATCTCAAAAGTTTTCTCGTAGAGCCTGTGCTGCCACCAGGTGGTTGTAGGAGCCAGAATCACTTTGATCATAAGACTACAGGTAGCAAGAATGAATATTTTTCCTATTGTGGTTTTTTTTTTTCGTTTTTGTGTTTTGTTTTGTTGTTTGTTTGTTTGGACAGGCAGAGTGGACAGTGAGAGAGAGAGAGAGACAGAGAGAAAGGTCCTCCTTTTCTGCTGGTTCACCTCGCAATGGCCGCTGCAGCCAGCGAGCTGTGGCCGGCGCACCGTGCTGATCCGAAGGCAGGAGCCAGGTGCTTCCTCCTGGTCTCCCATGCGGGTGCAGGGCCCAAGCACTTGGGCCATCCTCCATTGCCTTCCCGGGCCACAGCAGAGAGCTGCCTGGAAGAGGGGCAACCGGGACAGAATCCGGCGCCCTGACCGGGACTAGAACCCGGGGTGCTGGCGCCGCAGGCGGAGGATTAGCCTAGTGAGCCACGGCGCCAGCCCCTATTGTTTTAATACTTAATTTATAAATTAACTTAAAAACTCAATATCTGGATATTTCCATCGCTCACCCCCTTATTTCATAAAGGTTTTTTAAAAAAAGATTTATTTATTTATTTGAAAGGCAGAATTACACAGAGAGAGGAGAGGCAGAGAGAGAGAGAGAAAGAGAGGTCTTCTATCCACTGGTTCACTCCCCAAATTCCTGCAGTGGCTGGAGCTGCGCTGATCCAAAGCCAGGAGCCAGGAGCTTCTTCCAGGTCTCCCACACGGGTGCAGGGTTCCCAAGGATTTGGGCCATCCTCCACTGCTTTTCCAGGCCACAGCAAAGAGCTGGATCGGAAGTGGAGCAGCCAGGACTCAAACCGGCACTCATATAGGATGCCAGCACTGCAGGTGGCAGCTTTACCAGATACCCCACAGCACTGGCCCCTTCTGTTCAATAGGCCACCTATCAGCATGGCCTTCCTAAACTACTATATATTAAGTTATACAGAGAGAAGAAAGGCAGAGAGGAGAGAGAGAGACAGGTCTTCCATCCACTGGTTCACTCCCCAGATGGCCACAATGGCCAGAGCAGTACGGATCTGAAGCCAGGAGCCAGGAGCTTCTTCCAGGTCTCCCACGTGGGTGCAGGGGCCCAAGGACTTGGGCCATCTTCTACTGCTTTCTCAGGCCATAGCAGAGAGCTAGATTGGAAGTGGAGCAGCCGGGTGTCAAACGGGCACCCTTATGGGATGCTGGTGATTCAGGTCAGAGTGTTAACTCACTGCGCCACAACGCTGGCCCCAGGAATGGAGTTTTATGGATGATTATACACGTAAAAATGCATCAAACTGTGCACTTAAGATTTTATTTGTTACTTTGTATTATAGATCAATTAATTAATTTTTATCCAGAGAAAAGAATCCAGGAGGAAACAATTCCTATAAATTAAAACTGAAATGGAAAAAGTCAAATTTAACAATGTTGTGGGCTGGCGCCATGGCTCAACAGGCTAATCCTCCACCTGCAGTGTGCCGGCACCCCGGGTTCTAGTCCCCGTCAGGGCGCTGGATTCTGTCCCGGTTGCTCCTCTTCCAGGCCAGCTCTCTGCTGTGGCCCGGGAGTGCAGTGGAGGATGGCCCAGGTCCTTGGGCCCTGCACCCCATGGGAGATCAGGAGAAGCACCTGGCTCCTGGCTTTGGATCAGCGCGGTGCGCCGGCCGCGGCGGCCATTGGAGGGGTGAACCAACGGAAAAGGAAGACCTTTCTCTCTCTCTCTCACTGTCCACTCTGCCTGTCAAAACTAAAAAAAAAAAAAAAACTAATTAGAAATATCAATTTCCATTTTTTCTATCCTCTTGATCAATTTGAATATCACAATAACAACAGCTTATAAATTTGAAAGAATTTGCTCAAAAATCACTTGGCACCACGTCTTTATATCTTTTCCAACTTTTCCAGTGTCTCCTATTGTCACTGTTATGTTTACATGTCTTGCTTCATGTCCAATTAATTTCAGTTCTTCGTTCCTAGAATATTGTTTATCTAGTTTTTAAAACATGTTTTTTTTTAAATTATTCTCTGTATTACCTTAATTCGATTATCTTTTCTTCATTAAATTTCCCAAAGGTATTTTCATCGTTTGCTTGGTCCGTCTTGGCCACTCAGTCTTCACTTAGCAGTTGGGTCCTTTTGTCTCAGAAAGTTTGAGACGTGCACCTGCTTTCCTTGAACTTTCATTCTAGGTAGGCAAATGAGTATCGGGCAGGAAAGTGAAGCGCCTCCGGCCCCTTAAAAAAAAAAAAAAAGGCTTAATTTAGAAGCACTAAGGCGGGATGGGGGCGGAGTTTAAAAGTGAATTTTATTATTTTTGAGGGTCTTTAAAAAAGATCTTTAATTTCTAATGCACTTTCAGGCAACAGTTTCTGCTGGGCGAGGCTTGCTCTAGGAAATTCACCAGTCGTGCCTGCTCACCTGTTTACCTTGATTTTATCAAACTAAGTTCCTACTTCTGAAGATTTTATTTACTCTTCCGGCTTCAAATTTTATCATCGGTCCGAGCGCTGGGTCTTCAGGACCGGCCCGGGAAGACAAAGCACGGGGTTTAGCCTGAGAGCGCCCTGGGATCCCGGTGTGAGCCCTGCCCTTCCCGATCCCTCTCTCGCGAGATGTGGAAACCGGAAGTGAATTCTATTGCAGGAGTCAAAACGCGGCAGCTGCCCGGTTCATGTTGGCGGGAGCCGAGCGGGCAGTGTGTGCGTCCTCGCAGTCGGGCCTGGGCGCCGCGGACGGCGCTCCCCGCTTCGGGCAGGCAGGATGCGGGTGGCTGTGGCCGGCTGCTGCCATGGCGAGCTGGACAAGATCTACGAGACGCTGGCGCTGGCGGAGCGGCGTGGCCCGGGGCCCATCGACCTCCTCCTGTGCTGCGGCGACTTCCAGGCGGTGCGCAACGAGGCCGACCTGCGCTGCATGGCCGTGCCGCCCAAGTACCGTCACATGCAGACCTTCTACAGGTGAGGGGCGCGGCCCGGCGGAGCGGGGTGTGACCAGCCGGGAGCGGGCGGCTGGCGGAGAGCTGGCACTGGGTTCGAATCCCCTGTCTCCCTGGGTCCCCGTCTTTGTTCACTCGGTGTTTCTAGGACGTGGCACTGAGATGTCACCCTCCTTCTTTCCATACACCTGTCTTACCTGTTTCCCAAGGGGTCGCGGCTGAGGGCAGCCTTGGAGGAGGACACACTTGTGCCCTGTACTCCAGAGGACCGTGGGATAATCCAGGAGTTGTTACGGGACGCATGCTGTGTACCAGTCCTAGCTGTGGAAACTCAGGTTGTGGCAATGAACTTGACAAAGCTCTAAACCCACAGCGGCAGCTCCCCGCTCCTAAGGACACAAATGAATGGATACCGGGCAATAAGTTTAGAACGAGCTTTTAAGCTCCTCCTCATTTTTTTTTTTTTTTTTTTTTTAAGTCCGCTCAGCTTTTTCTTCTGGACCTGTCTTTGCTTTTCTGCAACGCCTACCTGTGGTAACAGAAAACCTTGCCTCTATGTTCTAGGTATTACTCTGGAGAGAAAAAGGCCCCAGTTCTCACAATCTTCATTGGGGGAAACCATGAAGCCTCAAATCATCTGCAGGAGTTACCCTATGGAGGCTGGGTGGCACCAAACATTTACTACTTAGGTAAGTGTTCCTGGGCTATTTTTTGTTTTTATGAAATGATGAAAGTGCCTTCAGGATTTGGGAATGTTGTTAATCATGGACACTGAATTAAAGTAGTTAATTATTAAATGCTTAATTGTGAAAATAGGTCTGTGTTTCATCTAGTGTTTTAAACAGTAATTAATATAACTTCAAAGACATTACACACTATTTTTTATTTTTGTAATGAATTTTTAAAAAACCCTTAGATTTTTATAAAGGAAATTCACTGTTAAGCCTACACTGGATGATGGTATACTGAATCTACATGTCAGGCAACTTCAGTTACTGTTATGATTCTGCATACTTATTTTCAGCCTACACCCCCTTAGATTTTTGGTGGCAGATGACTGGAGTAGTCTGAAGCAAATCCTAGCCGTGAGCTTATTTCACCTGTAAAATATCTTGAAGTGATAAAGATGTTTAAAATTACAACTGTAGTACTATAATAAGGAAAATAGCAGGTAATTCCTTTTACCTACTGTCTTCTTCATGTTCAAATTACTTTGTTACAAAGATGCCTGCATTTGCAATTGATGGGTCACACAGGATCCAGACAAGGTCCACACATTTCATCTGATTGTCAGCACTCTGAAATATCTTGGGCTGTTTCACAACATTTGTTTGCTGAAGAAAATGGGAAATTCGTCCTGTGTAATTTCCTGCATTTTGAATTTAGCCGATTGGACTCCTGTTGTTTAAAATGTGCTTTTACCCTTTGCATTTCCTACAATCTGCGTTTGAATTTACAGACCTGATTAGACTTCCATTTCAATTCAGTTCCTTCAAGCTACTCAGTCCTTTCATCTTTTTATTTAAATGTTTATATTTTCTAGAACCATTTATAGATTTTTTCCAATATGAAATAACTTTTGAAATCTAGTTCCTCTGTTTCATTACTGATTCATTACTGTCTGACAAGTGTAGGGTTGTGAAAAGATGAAATCGTCACAGGATAATGAGAAAAGAATTGTAGAAAATACAAGTTCGGTATGCCTTATATCTGTTGCCATTCAGATTTCTTGTGTGTAAATCCATTTCAGGACATTTCCCTCATCTCTCCCCCTCCTATTGCTTCAGCTCCATATTCAGTTAGATGCCAAATTATGTCTGTTTCCCTTTCAATGTTTGATTTCATTTGTTCCTTCCAGTATCTACCTGGGCTCTCGGCTGATCTGCATTCAGGCCTCCTCTTCCTGGTCTACTTTATGTGTTGTTGGTATTGTTAATATAATAGTAACTTCATCATGATGCTTAATCTTCAGATAATTTTAGGACTGCATGGGGATCCAGACCTCTAATCGGTTTATTCAGTTAGTAAAGAGATTGCTTTTGCCTATAATAATTTTGTTTCATGGCGCATGCAATTTTTCAGGTTTGGCTGGTGTGGTGAAATACCGAGGCGTGAGGATTGGCGGAATCTCGGGGATCTTCAAATCTCATGACTATCGAAAAGGTATTGTTTTGAGGATTATTTTTTAAGTTTGAGAACTCTCATGCTCCAGAGTAACAGGCATAATATGTAGTTTGACTTTTTCAGTGATCTATCCTGTGGACTGTTAATTTTTTATTACAGAATATTTTATACATATAAAAATATAGAGAACATTGTAATGTATGTCTGTGTTCTACCCACCATCTAGTTTTATCAAGTGTTAGGATTCTGTTTTTAATTTTGACTTAGAAGAAGTAAAGAAGTACAGATAAAATTGAAATTCCTTGTTTAATTTGCCCTCAGTCCCGTTCTCCTTTCTTTTCTGCTTCTCCTTCCCAGGCAGCTGCTATTCTGAATTTAGTGTTTATCATTCACCTATTTTATATCATTCCGTCACATGTAGGCCCTTTAAACAATGTATTGTACAATGAGATTTAAGCTTTCTAAGTATCCTATTTCTGCAACTTGCTGCTTTGTTTAACATGTTTTTGAAATCCATGTTGATACATGTGACTCTAACTCTAGTGTGTTTACTCCTGCATAATATTCTATTGCATAAGTGTACCGCAATGTGCTTGTTCATTCTACTCCATCTGGATGAACTGTCTTGGTTTTAAAGTTGAAAGAATAGCTTGCAGTCACATTGATTTAAAAAAATTTCTTAAGTTGGTTGCTGAAATTTGCGTCCTGAATGTAACTTAACCCACAAGTCCGTTCCCTGCTGCTCTGTTCTTCATGATCTAAACTGTTGGCATGGAAATGCAAAAATAGACTTCTATGTGGCAGGTGTGGGTACAAATTAGAAGTACTCTCTAGAAGACAATTAGTAATATATATCTGGAAATGGTAAAAAAACTGACCCAGCAGTTCCATTGCCAGGGATTTATCTATAAGATAGATTCCACAAATGCAGAATGGTGTATGTAAATTATTTATTTCAACCTTCTTTATATAGCACAAGGTAAGGGCTAATTAAATATATTTTGATTTAACTATATGATGTAATGCTATGAAGCCACTTTTTAGAAAGCAGTAGTAGCTCTATCTTTAACTAATGTGAAAAGATATCAAAGATAAGTAAAGTGAAAAAAAAAAAAAACCAGAATATGTATTAAAGTATACTGCCTTTATTATACTGTGATAATAAAGTAGATGATAGTCCCCAGATTGGGAGTAGCACTCATCTGGTGAAAAGAGGGAAGGATGAAAGGAGTGGGATTGAGGACAGGTGAACAGTGAACTTTATTATACAATAAATAATACTGAATACACATCAGTATGTGTATTTAACAGCTGAAATATGGAAACAATGTTAAGTGTGTGAAATACATATGTCTATGTGAATATTATTCAGTCTCTGAAAAGGAGATCTTGCCATTTGAGACAATGTGAATGAACATGGAGGTTAATATGCTGAGTGAAATAAGCCAGACACAGATCTTATGTATATGTGGAATCTAATAAAAAACTGCTTCAAAAACAGAGTAGAATAAACCAACACGCTTAATCTTTAATTCCACTTTTTTTCCATGAACTTAAAAATTTTTTTAAATTAATTTGTTTTACCTATTTGACAGGCAGAGAGGAAGAGGAGAGAACTCCAGTCCTCTGGTCCACTCTCCAAATGCCTGAGAGTTGGGAACTGAATCCAAGTGTTCCATGTGGGTGGTAGGGATCCAACTATAGGCTCCCAGGGTGCGCATTAGCAGGAAGCTAGAGCCAGGAGTGGAGCAACCCTTGAACCTATGCACTGTGATATGGGGTGTGAACATCCCAGCTAGCCTCCTAGCTGCTTGTTAAACACTTACCTCTTAAAAATTTTGAACTATATGAATATATAGTGTATTTGAAAATTAAATATAATTTAATTTTTAAAATAACCCCTCAATTATTTGGATTTATAGTTTGTGATCTATTATTAGTAGAGAATACCAGTCTGTTAAGGGTACTGTTTTAATAAAATTTTTAAGAGCCAAAGCACTAATGACAAATGTCAATTTTGGAGAAGTGTGTGTTTGTATTTGCATATGTAGTGTTTAGAGAAATAAATACAGCTTTTTTTCTCTTTCTCAATTTAAGGTCATTTTGAATGCCCCCCTTATAATCCATCTACAATAAGGAGTATATATCATGTGAGAAATATTGAAGTCTATAAATTAAAACAGGTATGTAACAGGTATATTACAGCAGACTCAACCACTAGACCATATGCCCTCCAATATGGGGTGTGGGTATTCCAAGCAGTGTCAACTGCTGTGCTAAAGCCTGCCTCATTAAATATTGCATAGTAAACAATGTTTTTGAAATGTTTATTATGTGAGCTCATTAAAAAAATTTTTTCTGCTAAATCTTTGGGTTTATAAATATTAGAGGTCTCATAAAATCTGATACCTCTTGATTTTCAAGATAGTCGTTTCTTTACTAAAGAGGTAAGACTAGTTTTTTTTTTTTTTTTTTTTTTTTTTTTTTTTTTTTTTGACAGGCAGAGTGGACAGTGAGAGAGAGACAGAGAGAGAAAGGTCTTCCTTTGCCGTTGGTTCACCCTCCAATGGCCGCCGCTGCAGCCGGCACACCGCGCTGATCCTGGCAGGAGCCAGGAGCCAGGTGCTTTTCCTGGTCTCCCATGGGGTGCAGGGCCCAAGCACCTGGGCCATCCTCCACTGCACTCCCTGGCCATAGCAGAGAGCTGGCCTGGAAGAGGGGCAACCGGGACAGAATCCGGCGCCCCAACCGGGACTAGAACCCGGTGTGCCGGCGCCGCAAGGTGGAGGATTAGCCTATTGAGCCACGGCGCCGGCTAAGAAGACTAGTTTTTACATATATTTTTTTTAAAGATTTATTTATTCATTTGAAAATCAGAGTAATACAGAGAGAGGAGAGGCAGAGAGAGAGGTCTTCCATCTGCTGTTCATCCCGAATTGGTCGCAATGGCCAGAGCTGTGCTGATCCAAAGCCAGGAGCCGGGAGCTTCTTCCGGATCTCCCACGTGGGTGCAGGGACCCAAGGACTTGGGCCATCTTCTGCTTTCCCAGGCCATAGCAGAGAGCTGGATTGGAAGTGGAGCAGCGGGGTCTCGAACCGGTGCCCATATGGGGTGCCGGCACTTCAGGCCAGGGTGTTAACTCACTGTGCCACAGCACTGGCCCCAGTTATCGCATATTTTAAAGCCCAATATTAAAGACCTTGGCTGATTGGCATTCTAATCAAAGTGTGCCTCAGTTGCCCTGCCTTACCACAGATAATAAGGATGATTTATGAGACAGAAAGCTGTTTCTTTGTCTAGATGAATGAGTAGCCAAGTATTTGTATGACTCCCTTAAACAAAGTATCCTTAGAATGCATGACCCAGAAATCTAGAGACCTAAGTGGGTAAGTGGTTGTGTGGTCATGGGGATAAGGGGGAGGGAGTTGCCTTTAGTTAACATGCTTTTAAGTTTTCTTTTTCTGTTTTCTTTTTAAAGCTGAAGCAGCCTGTAGATATATTCTTATCTCATGATTGGCCAAGAAGTATATATCATTATGGAAATAAGAAGCAACTTCTTAAGACTAAGTCTTTTTTCCGACAAGAAGTGGAAAATAACACGTTAGGAAGTCCTGCCGCTTCCGAGCTTCTAGAGCACCTGAAGCCTGCGTACTGGTTTTCTGCACACCTTCATGTGAAGTTCGCAGCCTTGATGCAGCATCAGGTAGGGACCGATAAGCACTTAGTGGACACCTATGGCCTAGGCACAGTTGGCACAGTTGTAAAACTGGAGACAGAGATAAAAGATAACTCCTTTTGAGTAGCTCAGTATCCAGTGGGAGGAAGTGATAAGCAATTACAAAACAGTACAACAAGCTTGATAGAAGGGTGCTAAGATGGGGTGGGGCACAAGTTAGAGCTTTCTCCTTGGAGACATCTGTAGGATTTCTGAGGGTCTTTAATGGATTCGTGGGCATTGGCTTTCTCAGGCATGGAATGAGATGTGCAGTCCTCACCAAACCTACTTGAACAAATACTTTCCGGTGTTAGAGGTAACCCTTTAACAGCCCTCAAACACAGTGTGTGGAGTTTTGTCCCAAAGTACTCCTGTAAGCCCTGTCTGTTGTAGATGACTTGTGCACTCTCTCTCATGGTCTGGGGGGCAGAAGCTTCTGCCTTCACTTTCCCTTGGGCCACTGCTGCTCAGGGATTTTGCTCAGTTAAAGTCCAGGTCATCTGTTTACGCAGTCACCTTTTCTTTGCCACCTCTCTGTTACTCTGTTCTGCCTCTCGGGACTTGCCGCATTCTTGGATGTTAATGAAACATCTGATTTGCTGCTCTCCACTCCTGCCCTACTCCATCTTCTGATGTCAGCCTCGGGCCCTTGCATTTCTGCCTTCATGATGGGTGTGATCCCTTTCTCTTGGCTTCTGAACCGCCTCTAACTTTGCTCGGGTTATATTTCAGCCCTGTCACTAACACCAACGATCACATTTCCTCAGAGCTTCCTCATTGCTAAGACCTGCCTGTGATCTGTGTCCTCCCCTCGCTCAGTACCTCCCCAGAACTGCACTGACACTTGGGTCTCCGCAGGCTGCTTCCTGGTCTTTTTCCCTCCCTGTGCCTTGCTATTCTCAGTGAGTCACTTTTTTATTGCTTCCTGTAGGACTCGTATTTGTGATCTCTCCCCTATGCTTGCTTCTCTGTCAGTTTGCTTTTGAAAAGAAAATAGTGATATTGGAGTGTAATTTGTATGTCATGAACCTAACCTGTTTTAAGTGTGTAACTCAGTTGATTTTTAGCAAATTTCCACAGTTGTGCAGTGATAATTCCAGTTTCGTGACGTGTCTATCACCCCAAAAGATTGTTTGTGCCTGTTTGCAGTTCACCTTGTTCCTACCCTCAGCCCCAGGCGACCCCTCATTTGCTTTGTGTCTCTAAAGATTTGCCTTTTATGAACTCTCATATGGAGGGAACCATATAATATGTCATCCTCGCCATCTGATTTCTTTCACCCGCTTGTTTTTGACAGTCATCCATGTTGTGTTAGGTGTCCGCATTTCATTCTTCTTGTGGCTGGGTAGTGCTACCTTCTGTGGGTAAATCACATTTGCTCTTGGGGATGTAGCTGGGAAATCCTTGCCCAATCCAGGGCTGCAGAGATTCTCTCCTGTGGTTTCTTCTCAAAATTGAACAGTTTTACTCAGCCAGTTTACTTCAAGTTCTTCTGTCATCTTTAATGCTATGTCAGTTCCTTGCTTTGTGTGTTACGTGCTTTCATCTATGTTATCATCCTCATCATCATCCTTAGTTTTTGCTCTGAGTTCTGTAAGGAAATTAAAGCCATGAGAGGTTAAGTGCCTTACCCATTGCTGCACAAGCGGGTTTAGAAGCAACCTGTTAAGGAGATGCATTCCTTTGACACACAACTTAGAGATGTGTGTAAGAGATACTGTTTCTGTCCTACTCATTGTGAAAATTACCTGTGGTGTTGTAACATTGTTTCTTAAATCATTGTTCACATTGTCTAGGCCAAGGATAAAGAACAGACAGCCAAATCAACCAAATTTTTAGCCTTGGACAAATGCTTACCACATAGAGACTTCCTTCAGGTAAAAAAGAAAATGAAATATCTTTGCAATATAGTTTTACTCTTCCAAGGATTAAATTTGTATTATTGGTTTTTTTTTTTTTTCTCAGAATTTACCTGTGCTTTTTGTAATTTTTTTATTTTGAGAATCCTTTGGGAATATTTAAGTTGTAGCAATGTTTCCAAATTAATTTTGAATTTCTTTCTGATTTTATTAAATTATATTAAAATTATTAAAACTATTAAGGGTGTGTTTCTTAAAATGACTGCTGTTTTCCTGTAGGTATTAGAAATAGAACATGACCGCAGTGCCCCTGACTACTTGGAGTATGATGTTGAGTGGCTCACTATTCTCAGGGCTACTGATGATCTCATTAATGTGACCGGGAGCCTGTGGAATATGCCTGAAAATAACGGCCTGCATACAAGGTACATCCAACCTTATTTGAGGCTTGTCTTGCCTCTTTCATCTTTCTATAAATTAGATCCTCTGTGTAGTTTTTATCTCCTGCAGTTTTTTTGAGGGGAGGTGGGGAAATTTTTGGGAAGACCTGGTGTGGGAGGGCCCTGCACCTAGAAGTTGCTAGACCTCGTCATGGGGAAGTTGGCTTGTGCTAGTGATGCAGGATCCTATGGGGCAGTGGGATCTTGATCATGGAGTTGTGCAGTTGCTTGACCACTGGCCAGTGGCACTTGATGGTTGAGATTTCCTCCATCTTTGTGATCTGGATCCAGTGGGTACTGACCATGTCATGGTCTGCAAAAGGGGGAAGAAGTAGGCAAGAGACCATGTTTGCTGGGATGTGGGCATTCAGCATACCTCTTACCAAGTCCCAGGCTGTTCTTTTTTTTTTTTTTTTTTTTTCTTTAAGATTATTTATTTACTGGAAAGAGTTAGAGAGGCAGAGAGAAAGAGAGATGTTGTCCATTCACTGGTTCACTCCCCAAATGGCTGGAGCTGCGCTGATTGAAGCCAGGAGCCAAGAGCTTCCTCAGGGTCTCTGACATGGGTGCAGGGATTGGACCATCTTCTACTGCCCTCCCAGGCCATAGCAGAGAGTTGGATCAGAAGTGGAGCAGCTGGGTCTTGAATCGGTGGCCATGTGGGATGCCAGCACTGCAGGCTGTGGCTTTACCTGCTACAATCAAGTCCCTGGCCATTCTGTCAGGGGGAAACCCAGCATAGGGCTGGAGGACTGGATGGCCGAAGCCTCTGGCCCCAATAGGCACTGAGTACTTTTATTTTTAATCAAGGGAATTATTTTTCAGAGAGTATCAGAATAATTCAGCGTTTGTAGACTGGTGTAGTCCAGAAAACTATGTTTTCTATCTAAAGGAGATAACAACATGGACTGTTGAGCATCAACCCAGCTAAGTTTATGAGTCAATAAATGTGCATAAAACTATAATGTAGTGAAGATTTGATTGACATGTTAAAATAATTATACTTATTTTGGGGTGTGAGTCAATGGTGACTTTTTCTAAGAATTGTTTTTATTTCTGAGTGGTCCTGCTGAATATAATTTTTCTAATTGGAACTTTGATAGTTGATTTATTTTTTTCTTTGCATCTGGACTCCATAGTTAGATTGCATCATTATTGTCTGAGCTTGACAGAATGTAAAAAGATACTCTTTTGGGCTTTTACCAGGTGGGATTATAGTGCAACAGAAGAAGCTATGAAAGAAGTGTTGGAAAAATTGAATTATGACCTCAAAGTTCCATGTAATTTTAGCATAACAGCTGCTTGTTATGACCCTAGCAAGCCACACATGCAAGTGCAGCTGGTTCATAGGATCAATCCTCAGACTACTGAATTTTGTGCCCAACTTGGCATCACAGACATTAATGTCAGGCTTCAGAAGGCCAAGGAAGAACATCACTTGTGTGGTGAATATGAAGAGCAGGATGATGTAGAGAGTGATGACTCTGGAGAGGACCGGAGTGAATACAACACGGACACATCTGCACTGTCGTCTATTAATCCAGATGAGATAATGCTAGATGAAGAAGATGAAGATGAGGACAGTATTGTAAATGCAGATAGCAACGTCACTACACCACCTGTAGAACCTTCTGATCAAGCTTCTGACTTGTCTGCAAGTTTCTCTGATGTCAGGATCTTGCCAGGTTCCATGGTTGTGTCTTCTGATGATACCCTGGGTTCCCCAGCTGGTGGAGAGGGGAAGCTTGATAGGGCTGTGGAATCAGAGGACAGCAAGGACCTAACAGAGGAGCCGTTGAAGAGGCTGAGTGATGAACATGAACCTGCACAAAGAAAGAAAATTAAGAGGAGAAATCAGGCCATCTATTCTGCAGCTGATGATGATGATGAAGCAGCAACATAAGGCAGTTTACTTGTCTCAGTATTGTATTATGTACAAATGTGATTTTGGAGACTCCATTTTTTATAATTGGATTTTTGACTCAGGCTTAACTTTGTAATAATGAGATTATCCCTGGAAATTCCAGGTAAATATTTACTTTGGTCTTTAGGTCTTTGTATGTTTCATATATGAACATTAAAATTTCATATATTTGCTTGATTGGGTACCCTTTTTTTGGGAAACATGAGTATGTTACTCACTTTGTTGTTTTCAGCACTATTCTCTGAGATGGAGCTATAAAAATGAGTAAGAGGAATTTTTGCCTTCAAGGAGTTATTACCACTGTAAATATTTTAATGTATAAAATATAGTATATTTTGTTTTACAAAGTTACATCATTGTATATGTAATTATGTATACTTTCCTCTCATTTATTACAAATATTGCCTTGTCAGCTGCTAATCTGTCAAATATAAATTAAAATTGAAGATAGTAGATAAAATTTAACGAAATATAAATACTAAACGTTTGTAAATATAAAATCTTATACTTAATTGCTGAGATTAATATCCTATTGACTTTTGTATGTTTTAGCTTTATTTTTAATGTAGCTATCATAAGTGCATACAGGTCATTTCTGGCATAGTTCAGCTTACTATTAATTACTAACAAGGATCAAGTTGCTCAAATGCAGCTGCTCATACTGTGTGATTGATTGCTAGTAGTAAAGTATTCTTGAAGATTCATGTAGAAAAACTGTACCTCTGTGCTGAGTCTAGTTCAGATACCTGGGCCACCAGTGGAGACGTCGCCCTGTACTTGGATCTTGTTACTAGATAGCATCCCACAGCAGTCCAAATCCAGGAGCCCATCTAGAAGAATAAGGTAGCAGTTGGTTTCTATTTTATCAGCACTTGAATTAATAAAAGTTTAGGAATTTGGGGCTTTTATCTTTATTTTTTTCCATTTTTCCTTTTTTTTTTTGACTTGAATGTTTAATTCACTTAATTATGATTTACATAAAGTATTTACAGCTATGAATTTCTCTGTGATTGCTAATTTAATTGAATCTCATACATTTTGACATTTAATGCTTTTCTCAGAAATTCTAAATAAAGATTGAAGCACAAAGTACTTGGAAAACCAATTCTAGAGTTAGTAAATTGTAGTTTTCAATTGTAGTGGGTAGTCTAGCTTACCCACTTCGGAAAGAAGCACAAATACAAAAAAAGGAAGAAATTGCTACTGAAACAGAATCTTCAAACAAACATAAAATTACTCTGCATAACTTGATATAAATAAATTTGATAAAGCGGTGGTTAATGTCCTAAGAAAATAGGACTTACTGATAATTCATCCTAAAGCAAATTTCCATAGGCGTAGAGGGAAATAATCAGAGAATTAACCCCATGAAAGTCCTTGTCCAAGATGGTTTCAGGAGGGAAACTACCAAACTGAATAATCCCTGATGTTAAAAAAACTATTAGAGGATAGAGAAAATAAAGTCTAAGTTTTCTTTTTCTGAATATCATTGATGCCTAAGATTGGCAAAAATTATACAAAAAGCACAAATCAATCTTACATAGTACATATGAATATTGATGCAAAAGTTCTAAATAAAATATTGACAGTCTTGCACATTTTAGGATGACATGGTGTATTAGTCCATTTTCTGTTGCTATAACAAATTCTTTAAGCTTTTATAGTAAAAGAGGTTTATATAGTTCACAGTTTGGGGACTGAAAGGTTTATAGGGTTCACAGTTTTGGGGGACTCTTGTGAAGGCCCCTTTGGATCACAGCATAGCAGAAAAATGGAAAGGGAACCAGCAGAATGCAGAAGGGTCTAGTGCGTGGGGTGGCCCTGTTTTATCACAACATGTGAGAATCAGTCCCACGCCATTGATCCCTCTGAGGGCAACTCCCCCAGTGAGCTAACCACCTTCTGCTTGACCCCATCTCTTAAAGGTTTCCCCACCTCTCAACATTACTGGGCTTCCAGCGTGTGAGTCTTTTGGGGGTCAAACCTCATCCAGACCATACCATATGGCATGGCAACACAGAGATTAAAAAATTTTAAGGAAGGGCAAAATCCAGCGTCTTGCTTGATGGGGACAGCACTGAGCATTCCTTGTCAGAGATACTACTGCTATTAATTTTAACATTGTGCTGGGAAGAGCTAAACTGCCAGGCAGCAGAACAGAATACGGAGATCAGAATTGCAGAGAGGCAGCTCTCAAATGACCTGATAATTTAGGTAGGAAACTCAAGTACAATTGTACCTCAATAAACAGTGAGGTGTAAGGGCACAAATTAATAGTCTTCACATGCATAGTTCCCAGTAACCTGATAGAAACAACAAAAAGACATTTAGCAAATGTGAGGGACGCTTGAAAACAGCTGGAAATGCAAAAGTAGTCTTTATGGGAAAACACCCTTTGGGTAAATAGACTCAATGTTTTAAAGATGTCAGTTCTTCCTACGTTAATATATAAATCTAACACTGTTCTAATCAAAAGACACGTGTTTCGTTTTTTCAGGACATAGGCAAGTTAATGTTAAAGTTCATATGGGGAAATAGACACAGAAAAATCTCAAAGAAGAGCAAGGGTTTACTGGCCATTTCAAGTACTAAAATATGCTATGAAGCCTCAACAGTTAAGACAAGGTAGTGTTTGCATGAATGGAGATAATGGAACAGAAAGACCAGAAACAGGCCCGAACATGAAATTTTAGTATGCATACTTGTCATTGGGACGATGTTTTAAATAAATAGAGTTAAATGGCTATATATGCATCTGGAAAGAAAGAAACTTGTGTTTATACTTTTAATTTTTAAATTTATTTATTTGAAAGATTTTTATCATTCACTGGTTCACTCCTCAACTGTCTGCAACAGCTGGACCTGGGCCAGGTCGAAGCCAGGAGCCCAGAGTTCAATCTGGGTCTCCCGGTGGGTGGTGGGGACTCAAGCACTGGAGCCATCATCAGCTGAAGCCTCTGGGTATTCATTAGCTGGGACTGGAAGTGAAGCCAGCACTCACGCCCCAAGCACTCCGATAGGGATGCAAGCATCAGAGGCAGTGTCTTGGGGCCGGCGCTGTGGCTCGGTGGGTTAAAGCCCTGGCCAGCAGTGCCAGCATCCCATAAGGGCACTGGTTCAAGTCCTGGCTGCTCCACTTCTGATCCAGCTTTCTGCTAATGTGCCTGGGAAAACAGCAGAAGATAGCCCAAGTCTTTGGGCCTTTACACCCACGAGGGAGACCCAGAAGAAGCTCGTGGCTCAAGCTTCTGGCTTTGGCCTGACCCAACCCTGGCAGTTGAGGCCATCAGGGGAGTGAACCACAGCTGGAAGACCTCTTTCTCTCTGTGGCTATGGCTTTCAAATAAATAATCTTTTTTTTTCTTTAAAGAAGCCAGCTGGAGTCTGACACCCTATATCATAGCACCTGGGTTTGAGTCCCAGCCCTATTCCTAATTTTAGTCTCCTACTAATGTACACTTTGGGAGGCAGCGGAGGGTGGCTCAAGTGGTTGGTCCCTGCCACCCATGTAGGAGACTTGGATTGAGTTCTGGCTCCTGAACATTTGGGGAGTGTATCAGCATATGGTAAGTCTTCTTTTACCTGTCTGTCTTTGTCTCTCTACCTCTCAAAACAAATAAATCCGGATTTGAAAAAAGACAAGTGATAAACTGGAAGAATTTATTTATAACTCATATAATGAACAGAGAAATCATCTTCCCTACATACACTTTATATAGACCCAGTAAGTCCACTTCTAAGATTAAATTCTACAGACAGCACCGCAAATAAAACATAAGTACAAGATTCCTCACTGTAGCATTATCTGTAATTTCAAAAGACTGGAAGTAACCTAAGGGTTCACTGGATAGGACTGGTTGAACAAACATCCAATGGAGTAATGTGAAAGCTTGAAAAAGGAGAATGTGGGACCCCAAAACTTAGATATGAATATTCCTTCCAGCATTACTCATGATAGCCAAAAGGTAGAAATCACTCCAATGTCCAATAATTGTTTAACTGATGGATAAGTATAATGTTGTATAGCCATACAATGAAATATCATTCAGCATTGAAAAGTAATGAGCTGATTCATGCTATACATGGATAAGCCTGAAAATATGCTGAATAAAAGCCAGACAAACAAAAAGCCACATGTTGTATGATTCCATTTCTAAGACGTATCCAAAGTAAAACAGTCCATAGAGACAGGAAGTTTTATTGTTGGTTGATTATTGGTTGCCTAGGACTGAAGAAGGAAATGGGGTTCATGAAAAGTGACTGCTAATGGATACAGAGCTTTTTTGGGGGGTGCTGAATTTATTCTAAGATTATGGGGGCTGGCATTGTGGTGTAAAAGGTTAAGCCTCCACCTGCAGTGCCGGCATCCCATGTAGACGCCAGTTTTGAGTGCTGGTTGCTCCACTTCTGATCCAGGTCCCTGCTACTGGCCTGGGAAAGCAGTGGAAACTGGCCCAAGTCCTTGGGCCCCTGCACCCACATGGGAGACCTTGAAGAAGCTCCTGGCTTTGTATCAGCTCAGCTCTGGCCGTTGCGGCCATTTGGGGAGGGAACCAGTGGTTGGAAGACCTTTCCCCTCCACCCTGCCCCCCAACTCTGCCTTTCAAATAATAAATAAATCTTTAAAAATTAGATTATGATGAAGCTTACACAACTGGGTGATCAGAATAGAAATCACTGAATTACACACTAAAAGACTGAGTGTGTCCATGAGTTGATGTAGAGTCAGTTGTAGGTTATACTAAGTACAAACACAGAGTGCAGAATACCATGTATTTTCTGTGGAAGGAAGAAAAATTCTCTTCATCATCTTTTTATTCTTTCAGTTTTGAATTTTTTTTAAAGATTTATTTTATTTATCCAAAAGTCAGAGTTACAGAAAGAGAGGGAAAGACACAGAGAGAGACATCCACCATCGGCTGGTTCACTCCCTAGATGGCCCCAAAGGGTAGAGCAGGGCGGATCCAAAGCTAGGAACCTGGAACTTCTTCCGGTCTTCCCGTGGGTGCAGAGGCCCAAGCACTTGGACCATCCTCTGCTGCTTTCCCCAGGCTATTAACAGGGAGCTGGATTGGAAGTGGAGCAATTGGGACTCAAATTGTTGCCCATGTAAGATACCGACATCACAGGTGGCAGTGTGACCCACTACGCCACAATGCTGGCCCCCAGTTTTGACTTTGTGAAACATGTTTCACAAAGTGAAAACTACATGAAAAAGTATACTTAGGGATATCTTACTCCTATCCTGAACCCCTTCATCTTGTTAGCACTCCCCCAACACTGTTCATTAGCTTCTAGTTCTTCCAAATATCTCAAGGGAACCTTAAAGTGGTGGAACCCCCAATACATATATTGTGAAGGAGATCACAGATTTTAATTTCATCTCATTTATTTGAGAGGGAGAAAGAGAGAGATGGTGAGAAGGATAAAGAAACAGAAAAAAAAAAAATTATGTGCTTTGCCAATGCCTGCAACAGCCTAAGCTGGTCAGACCAAAGCCAGGAGCCAGGAACTCCATCCATGTCTCCCATGTGAGTGGTAGGGACCCAATTACTTAAGTTATTATCACCTGCTGTCTCTCAGGGTGTGTATTAGTGGGCTGCTGGCATCAAAAGTGGAGCCAGGCACTCTGATATGGGATGCAGACGCCAGAAGCAGCGTCTTAACTGTTGTCTAAATACCCACCTGAGGTCATTAATTTTGGTCTGCAAACCTCCTTTCCTCATTCCAGTAGTAGCACCACATGCTCTTCTTTATTTGTGGGGCGGGGGAATCGCCTCTATTGCTCTGGCATCTAACCCTCATTTGTCCGTGGGGCTGTCCTGTGACTCAGGTTTACCAATGAGATGCTCCTTCCTTGGGAATATTCATCTTACGCAGAGAGAGAAAGGCAGATGAGTTGGTGCTCATTAGTTCCAGGGGAAGTGCCGTGACAAACTGTTAAGTAGTTTCTAGAATCTAGTGCACACCTTCACAGTTGCTCTTTTCTTAGCCTAGTTTTCTAACCTCCCTTTCATCCTCTAATCTCCAATACCCTAACCCCTTATCTCCTTCCAGTAAACTTTCCTCTTGTTTAATTCAGCCAGCGTGAGTTCTGGTGCTTGCAACCATACACTGACTGATACATAGAGTACTCCTGAGTGCTAATGAATGGGTTTCTAGTTGAGTATGGGGTGGGGAAAGCAAGATAAAAACAGTAAGGCTGTCACCTATAATGGTTTCCTTCAGTTCTTTTTCATCTAGGACTACTCATGTTTTCATTCAAGACATAATGAATGAGACAAATATGTCCCAGAAGCTACACCAGGGATACAATGATGAGAACAATGCGGTATAACTCCTGCCTCTGTGGCACTTACAGTACAATGAAGGAAATTAATAAAATAATGACAGCAATAACTGTGAAATCGTAATTATAATAGTGTGACAAATCAGAGGGATTTGACATTATAAGAGCAAGTCAAAGGGCATTTTATTCACCACTATTGTTTAATATAATACTTATTAGAGATCTTGATCAAAACTATAAAATAAGAAAAGGAAGTAAGGGGGGCCCGTGTTGAGCCGGTTAGGTTGCTGCTTGGGGCACTTGCATTTCATATGAGTGCT